CTCTCGCCTCCGACTGGGCGCCGTCGGCGGCGCGGTCGACCCTTACCCGCCAGCAATTGGCGAAGGAAGCCGTCCATCGTGCACGTCCCGCCCCGGCCCGCCCCCGCGCCGGCGGCTCCCTTCCGGCGGAAGCGCGGGCCGCGGGGCGCGCGGGCCAGAGCGGTCCCTATTGTTGCTGTGTCATAGGGGAGCGGCGGCGGCCCCTGGCGGCGGCGCCGGAAACCGCAGGCGGGCTCCAGAAAGGGGCAGGACCTGCCGAGCCCACACCGTCGCTGCCGGCTGTCGTCAGGCGGCGGGCTGAGATGTCACCCATGGGGGCGGTGCCCAGGGACAGGTGGAGGCGAGTAGGCGAGGATCGGGCTCTGGGCGGTGCGCACGGATGGGGCTCAGCTCCTCTGGGACCCCGAGACAGGTGCCAGGGTCCACATGCCCAAGAAGGCAGATGTCCGTGTGTGGACAGCCAGCCACGTCCCCTGTACACCTGGGGACTGGGACACGTGGAGCAGCCACCTCGAAGCCCGCAGAAAGCCAGCCAGCCTTCTGACAGTCATTATCCCACGAGCAAGACTCCAGGACCTGAGATACAAAGAAAACAGTCACAAGGTTAAAAAAGGTAGGAGTTAGTCTTATGACACCAGAGCTGGGAAAATGTCAGCTTCATGTTACTTTGAGTTAATTTGACATAAATTACAGCAAAGGCAACATGAGAATGCTCCGGAAGCACGAGCCAGCTGCCTGAACAGTGAAGTTTTGTGGGATTTGCTTAAAGCTACACAAACCTGCTGGGCACAGTGGCTCACCCTGTAATCCCAACACTCTGGGAGGCCGAGGCCAGAGAATCTCCTGGAGCTCAGGAGTTCGAGACCAGCCTGAGCAAGGGCAAGACCCTGTGTCTATTAAAAATAGAAAAATTAGCTGGGTGGCATGGCACATACCTGTAGTCCCAGCTACTCGGGAGGCTGAGGCAGCATTGCTTGAGCCCAGGAGTTTGGAGTTGCTGTGAGCTACGATGACACCACTGCACTCTAGCCCAGGTGACAGAGCGAGACTCCGTCTCAAAACAAAAAACAAACAAGAGCTACACAAACCGTGCCCCTGGAGGTGTCCTCCACAGCCCCGTTTCATAGTGACACTAAGACGCCTTTCCCACCCCGCTCTCGCATGAGTGTACGGTGGAATTTCCCAGAGGCTACCTTGTGCTAGCAGAACACATTGAACACAGCTGTCTTCCACTAAGCCAGACTAGATATTTGCAAAAATGTAAGACAATGTTATGGTTCCCTACAATTTTCTTTTACCCGTCATTTACTTCTTTATTTCAGATCTTTGAGAGTTTTAAGAAAGTAAAAAAAGCGGTGTCCATGCCTGTCTCCAGCCCATTCTCTGGCTCGGTCCCTCTCTAGTGGTCACGCTGCGCTGACTCTGTTCCCATCACACCCATCTTGATGATTTACTCTCTGTGCACATTCACATAAAATCTGGGGTTTCCACAAGGTCCAGTGGTGCACGCCTGTAGTTCCAGCTACTCAGGAGGCCAAGGTAGGAGGATCACTTGAGCCCACGAGTTCGAGACCCTATCTCAAAAAAATTGGTTTTTAAGCCTTTTCTAAAAAGTGTAAAGGGATATTTTTCACTCGATGTTTGCAAGGTTTGTTCATGTTGCGCAGTAGCTCTAGCTTGTTCATTTTAACGCCTATATGACACCTGATGCAGGGTGTCCCACGACTTAGATACGTCGCCTTGTTGGTGGACATCGTCCTGTTTACGTTCCATCTTTTGCTATTATAATGCTTCAGTTTTTAAAAAGTTAATTGATCTAAAGATTTACTTTTTTGTTTTGGAAAACAGCTATTTTTCATTAAAAAT